CCCAGCCAAAGTCAAATGGAGCAGAAGAGCCACCCAGCTGATCCCAGCCAACCCAGGAAAATGCAAACTTTTAAGTCATTGTTTTAAGTTGGAGGTAATTTGTTACTTCATAACAGGTAATTGAAACAATAATACAAACAAAATAAATATGTTTGTATGATGCTCTACATTTTTTAAAAGCCCTTTTACATCCACTATTTCCTATAGCCATACCATGCAGTGGGAAACTAGGTCAAAGGTTAAATATCCTGTCTAAGCTCTCAGAGTGCTTAAAAACAAAGTTTACATTTAAGAGAAAGATGTTTCTCATAAGTAAATTCTATATCCCTATTTTTCTATTTTTTATCTAATGTAGTAGTGATTATCAAATAATCAAGCATTGATTGAAAACTACTCTCTCCTGTGCTTCTTTTCCATAAGAACTAGTTAATCTAAACAATTATATTCATTTATATTTCTATTAGTCCTAACAGTTCAAAAAGTAAAAATAACATTTTTGGACCTGCGCCTCTTTATTTATGCACACCTCTAGCTGTGTTTTGATGTTTGAGAAATATTATTTAAAAGTTCTACACAAAAAGTACTGACAATTTCAAGTGATAAACTGAATTTTTAAATATGAAATGATCCTTAATTCTTTCCTTGCTTATTCTCATGTTGTAGTCAGGTTTTACAGCTATCCTATCTGTCTGACTTCCAGTTGAACAAAAAAACGATAGGGCACTTAGCACCAGGTCCTTTGCATTTTGGTTCCTCCTCCCCTTTTCCCTCCTCCAGGGTTACCTGTGAAAATGTATATGGCTGATATGGACAAGACAGCCCCAGCAAGACAAAGACACTGGATTTTTCCAACTGATAGCTAAGTGTCCTTGGGGGGAGTTGTGTGGCAGGAGGAATGGTCTCAGAATCCAAGAATGGCCTGGGTTACCGAGGCAGTGGTCTAATAATAATAATGAATTAGGCTATTGCCTAGGTAACCCAGGCCATTCTTGGATTTATTAGTGTATTCTGAAAATCTGCCAGAAATCAGATTTTCAGAATAAACTAAGTGGTCCACATTTAAGACAGAATAAAATTCAAGTTTTGAAATCTTTGAATCTAGACTGAATCAGTCTACTAGCCAGATTCTTTTCTGAGGAAGCAAGCATCCCACTATCTTGGTAGAGAGGTTTTCATTACCTGTAGAAGACATGCTACTTCCTCATTTAACACAGCAGTCACAAGGCAAATGAGAACCTAGTATAAATGTAAGTTACTGAGGCTGGAAGCCAGGAATCCACTGGGAGGCTGCTAAGATAAATGTAGATTAAGCATCTTCTGCTTGATACCTTCCAAAGGCTGTTTCGTAATCTTAGGCTAAAGAACCAACTTCCACTTGGCCCACATATCTTGGCCCAAATGACTCATACTCATTTCTCCAGTACCATCCTGCACTATTCTCTTCCTTACCACTAAGAATCAGGTAATCTGGACTTTCAGCTCCTTACACTTGCAAAGCAACCAATCCAGCAATATGTTTCACACATGCTATTCTCTATGCATGGAATGCTCTTTCTCTACCTCTTTGCCTAGTTAAATCTAACTTATTCTTCAAGGCTCAGCTTAAATTACTTACACCAGAAAATCTTCCCTCTTAATCCCCAGAAAAGGCTGGGTCTTCCTGTTATATAACCCTAATATAGCATACTGTATATCTCCTTTTGTGGACTTATCCAGCTGTAATCTAAATTATGATTATGATTTCCATCCTTTTTGCCTCCTTGTAAAAGCTCCTTGAGAAATGGAGTTGCATCTGTTTTGTTCACTGTTTTATTACTAGTGTTTTGTGTAGTACAGAACAGGTATTCAATGCTACTTATTGAACATGGATCTATTATACTTAAGGAATTTTAAAGTATATGTTACATTATATTATATATACTTCTGAAGATATAAAGAAGAATCTAATGGTTTCCGTAAGAAAAAGATATGCACAAATGACCAAGTGGCAAAGCAGACTCTGATCAGTAATATGACCGAGAACTAAATAACAGACCATGGGAGAACAGGGAAAAGGGGATTAACTCTAAATGGTGACCACAGAAAGCTTTATGGAGGAGAATCATAAAGTGTCTCTAAGAATGGGCAACATTTATACATACATTTTTCTGGCCCACTAGAAACAGCAATGTTCACAGTGTCTGCCATCCCGCTAACACTTTTCTGTTCTTTATTCATTCTTCCTTTTCACTTGGTATTCCCAAATGCCTTCCAAACTCAAGGAAATAAAAGAAATCATGGTTTAATGGGGAATTGGCAATGCTTAACTCAAAGAAATGACACTTTAACAATAAACTATTAGAACTACTGTGTGGAAACCAATTTAACCCCTTGCAGCAATAACAGCTTGGCAACTATGTAAGATCTCAGATTAGGAACTGCAAATCAACTGTCCAAGGGAAGTCCTTTCCTAAATCCAGATACGAGGAATAAGGAATATAAAACGTTTGGGTGGGGAAAAGGGAGTAAAGGCCATGCAGGCAGCCTGGTGGCAATGCGTCAGAGAAGCAGCCAGAGCTTTGGGAAAAGCTAGGCTCACTGCAACACTGCAGGAAATCTTTGTGACACACTGGTGTGTCATGAAACAATGACTGGGTATCACTAATGACAAGCATTTCACTTAATGGTTTGGAATTCTGGATATACCACATAGCCTGCCCAACTACCCAGAACAAAGCAGAATCAGACCTGGGAAATCACTCTATTTCCTCAATCCTCACGGCATCCTCATCATGTTGAATCCAGCAAGCTGAGTTATGAGCTACTCTTCTCTTCTGAGGTTCCTGGCTCCTAGCAAACTGGTCACATCTCTGGAGTGAGCACCTACTCTCATTGGTTTTGAAATGAAAATTAAAAACAAAAATCTTTAGGCTGGGCAAGGTAGCTCACGCCTGTGATCCTAGCACTTTGGGAGGCCAAGGCAGGTGCATCGCTTGAGTTCAAGAGTTCAAGACGAGTCTGGGCAACGTGGCAAAACCTCGTCTCTACAAAAATACAAAAAGTAGCCAGGTATGCTGGTCCATGCCTATATTCTCAGCTACTCAGAGGGAGGAGGTGGGAGAATCACTTGAGCCTGGAGGTGAGCCGAGATTGTGCCACTCCATGTTGGCCTGGCCCACAGAGTGAGACCTTGTCTCCAAAACAAAAAACTTTAAAAAGTCTGTTTTCACAGTTATGAGAACTTGAGTTCACGGAATTCAAGTTTTCAGCAACAAAGTTCCATTAGTTTCACAATTAAAACCACTGAGATTTGGTCCAAATAACAAACATTAAGTGACACTGAGGTATAATTTTGATTCCTGGATTTACATAAATTATGTCAACGTTACAGTGAAAAAGAGGCTTCCTTTACAGAAGACACATTTAGTAAGCTACACCGACTACACAAAATTTTCTGATTCTAATCTGCAGAAATGTGGCTTGGCTTTAGAGACTGTTCTTTTTCATATCATGTCTTCACAGTGCTATCTTAAAGCCTTTTAGCAATGATTCATCATAAAGTGAATTTTAATTCCCAAGTATATTTTAATATCAATCTTTCAGCACAAAGCACTGTAATTTCAAAGCAGTTTGGAATATCTAGGAACATGTCTGTGCAACTGAACCGCGCTTTCTCTTAAGTATGGCGTTGTGCAATCCTCGTTGACTTTGGATTACGTGATAAGGACTCAGCTCCTAATCATTTTAATCTCACATTTTTTATGATCCTTTTGTTTAAAGTCAATATTTTAATTGGCATATATCAAGATGTGAATGGGTCTTGGATTAGAAATTTTGTTTAAATTGAGAAAAGGGCATATGCTAGTTCAAATGACTTCGATATGAGCACAGGAGCCCAATTTTCACTTTAGTAAAAGAGCTTGTCATAAAGTAAAACTTTTAAAAGTAATGAAATAACATTCGATTATTATGAGTAGTCACTAGTTCATGAGAAGTGTTTAGCTGATACATGATTCTAGTCCATTTAAAAAACAAAGCCCTCTACAACCATTGCTTTGGGCAATACATACACATTAAATTGAAAAATATTTTCAAAATCTTACTCTAGCCAATAGTTTCAGTCCATCCAATGACCAACTATTTCATCAACACTACTAAAAATAGGGCATGAGTGTGAGCTCCTTTTCTCCCCGCGTTGCTCACTGAAAACAAACAAACATGAAAGAAAGAGCCTTTGAGGGAGATAGCAAGAAAGAAAAACAGCAACACACAGGTTAGAAAGAAGTCTCTAACAGTGCTATCCACTAGAATTTTCTGTGATGATGAAAATGTTCTACATCTGTGCTGTCTAATATGGCGGCTTCTAGCCACATGCAGCTAATGGGCACTTGAAATATGGCTAGCATAACTAAGAAACTTAATTTTTAATTTCAATTTTAATTTTAATAGAGTTTGTAGCTACAGTATTAGATAGGACGGGCTTATAATTAACTAAATCCCTGAAAAATGAAACTATTGTTTATGATCAGTTAAATATGGCAATTATCTTGTGGCCAGCAGGAGCCTAGAATTATTTTCATCTGATGATTATCTAATGATCTTTAAAAATCCCTACTAAATAGGCCATGAAAAAGAGCTTGGACTACAAATAAATAAAAGGAGCTTTGACTTCCTGGTCAAAAACTGCCAGAAATGGTAAGAATCCCAGAGCAGAAAAGACAAGCCCAACCCTGTGTCCTATTGTTACTGCTCTGCCATGTTACCCAGCTTTTCCAGGAATTAGACATTTAAAAAGGACTGGTATTTTAGCCAGGGCAGTTCAGCCTGACCCTAACTTTCTATAGAATAAGCAGAACCAAGCGGAAATGAAAAGAAAGATCTTTCTAACTTTCTATGGAAAGAGTGGGGTTATTTAAACTATAGCTATGCCTTAACTAAATAACCTACTGGATATATACTCTATTGAGACCATGAGCCCTTTATGGGGGGCATATAAATATTTAATTGGGGTTTTTTCTCTCTCTCTCTTTTTTTTTTTGATATAACAATTTTTTTTATCATACAGTTATTATGCCTTATTTGTGGTCCTGAATACTTTTATTCATTTAAGTTTCACAAACACTGTGGTAGGTGGAGAAGAAATTATTATCCCCACTTTATAGATTAAAAGAAAGGCTTGAACTTAAGCGATTTGCCAAAGGTGACCTGAACATCAGTCCTCTGATTGCTATTCCATGGCTCTTTCTTCAGAGTATTTAATAAAGTAACAATTATATAGTATATTTTATTGTTTAATAATTGGAATACAATAGGAATGGCAGATTTTTTATATTGTCCAAGCCTTAGGCTTGTCTTTGTATTTGGGAGGACCTTTTAAATTAGAATTCCAACCTTATTTTTTCTGTCAAAAAAGGCACTTATTTTCAAGATCATCTCTGGCTATGAGAAAAGAAACCTACACTCCTCATCTAAAAAGCAAGAAAAAGCAAGAAGAGTTATCTGAGCAATTAAAATAAAATGATGGAAAATCTTGAATTGTTTTAGGTCCAGACTAACTAAATTAATCTTCTTTGCCTAAATTTCCAAACACTCAAGAATGCATTCATTATAGTATCCTAAGGACTTAGAGTGTGTAACTAAATGTTCATCAATCACCAAGTTATTATTTAATAGGAATGAATTTGAGTGGGGTATAGCAGGAGTTCTGATGAACATTATAGGATTTATGAAGTCACCTCCATGAGATTATCAATAAAGGCTTCACAATCTCCACTTGACTGGAAAAAGTTAAAGTCATCAGTTTAACTGGTGACTCAACTTATGGTCCCTTCCAACTTAAGTAACATAGGTAATTAACTGTGATAGAGCCTCCAATAATTCCTGCTTTTCTAGCACTCACCTGAAAGGTAGAATCTACCTCATCTCAAATCTGGGCTGGCATGGTGAGTTGCTTTGATCAATAATGTGTGCTGGAGGTGATGCTGCAGTTGGCAGCTTATTCCTCTACTCTTGGAAGCTGACCACCAGGTTAAAAAGTCCAGCTATCTTGAGACCATTGACCTGTGAGAAAGGCCACGCTACCCATGTAGAGACAGAAATGCTAACAACAAAGCAGAGGTACCAGCTATTAAAAGGGAAACCTTCCTAATATTCTAGCCTATCCAAGCTGCCAGCTGAATGCAGCCCACTGACTTACCCAGATGATGACATGTGGACTAGTCAACACCCCTTGCAAATTCCTGAGCCTCATATATTCTCAAATATATGAGAAATAATAAATGATTACTTTTTTAAGCCACAAAGTTTTAGGTTGATATGTTATCTATTGCCTTCCTTGATTAACAAGTTTGCTACGTCTCCTTTTTATTCTGAATTTTAAAAGTAACTTGAAAAGTAGTGATTCCTCTCACATCCTTAATACAAGAACTAACTTTCAGTTGTCCATCTTCACTCAAGTTTAAATATGGTTGAACACAAATATTTCCAAGGGTGCTGCTGTCATGGAAAAGGCCCGCCCAGACAGAAAGCTTCTCCCTGAGGTTTCCTGCTACATTCATCTCATTCTTATTGCCACCACCTACTAAAAATAAAATTTTAAATGAGCTAACAGAGTAATGGGTTCCTGGAAAAGCACAGCATCCATTTTCATATGGTTTGAAGACACTGTGTTTAGCAAAAGAATCTGTAGCTAAGGTCTTTATTCAGAAATTTGAAGGGTCATGAAGATAAACCTGGGGAGCATAGCTACAGAAGTCTACAATGCTCAAATTGGATACTCTCCAAAATAAAACCTACTATATAGTGCCCTGTTCATTTAGCTTGGACCCTGGAAGAGTGATGTTAAGGGAAAAGAGGGAAACTTACATAGAAATAGAATAGCAAATTGACAACTACCATCCTAAAGGCCACTATCCCAGAAATTCATGGTTGCCCTTATGGACACCTAACTTATCTCCACCATTGCTACCTTGTTCTCATTTTTCTTGAAGTCCCTCCCAATTTTGCACAGTTAGCAAGAATAGTATATATTCCATAAGAAAATAATATAGAATCCATAAAGCAAAGTCTACCTAATACCTCACTCAGTTTCAAAAATTGCCAGTTCTATAAGAAATGTCAATACTCCAATCGAGTATTCACTACACAGAATCTTCATCTTTCCATCATTAACAGTGGAGAGTAACAGATGTTGAAATATGACCAACTTTGTGGCTGACAAATGAATCTTGAAATGTCTATAACAATAAGAATAAAGGTAGTATATGAATATGACACTTGTTCTGGATCAACTTCCCAAGTATTTGATGGACACTGTCTCAGAACATTTTTGCATCTTAAGAATGTGTAACATAAGAAATGTTCAAATTCTGAGGGCTACAGATATAAAAGAATGGTCGCCTGCACTACACATAGCTGTCATTCAGGAAAAAATCACAGGCACTGATCATCCAGGGACCTGAGTTACATGTCACAGTTTTTCTAAAATAAAGTTCCAATATCAGATTATATCGTGTGATATAACCTGAGTTATATATCACAGTTTTTCTAAAACAAAGTATCCAATTATTAGATACTACCTCACTTAAGGGATTAATGATATACAAGTGAAATTCTCTAAAACCGTTTCTAAGAGCCTGACTCTTACAATGCAGGAGAATCATTCTATTCATACCACTTTTACTCCTGTGATCAGGGAGATTAGTTGAGATTTTTGACAAGACCTGGACAAAAACTAAGAAATGCCTTAGGGTCCTCCTGTTCCTACCATTGCTGGAAGGGAAGAAGTCACTTTGATATTGATACCCTCTCTGATTTCTCAAGTCCTTTTTTTTTTTTTCAGTAGCATTGAAAGCTTTCAGAAGTCAAGAATATTCTTTGAGATCATTAGACAAGACTCTATATGGGAATCAAGTTATGTAAAAAGTCCATTGTTTATGCAGATGAAAGGCAATCTTCAGAGGCTCAATACTTTCTTGTAACCATGAACATAAAGGATTTATCCTTCTCCATTAGGAAGCCTGATCACATGAACTTCACCTCCTATCTGAGGCAGGACCCAACATCTCTGGCCTCAAGAAACAGTGTGCAAGAACAATTCTCACACCTAAAATGAATCCAGTGTCCCTGAATTGAGGATGTTTCCACCTTAGCTTCAACTTCAGCATACATTCACCAACTGATCTTTTATCCATCAGTTGACTCCCAAGCTGAAGAACACCTGAAATACCCCAGGAAGAATCTCCATGTATCACCTTCTCCACTGGATGAGGCATGAGAGTTGCCATATTTACTGATAGCAAAGCCTGCCCCATCTTTCCCCTACCCTCACCAAAATCTAGTCACTCTAAAATGACTTCTCTGGTGATGTCTCTAGATCTGCTGGTACAGAAGCTGTACTTTCCATTTCCTTAGTAGGCTGTTGATTCGAGGTCATTCTCTATAGCATTCTTTCAAGGGATTCTTATAGCACAGACATATCTGTGCACATTGCAGGCAGCTATCACCCTCTTCCAAGAAATCTCATTTACAACATCTTCTCACATCCTCTAGGTTTCCATCTTGGATTATTCATAAGTGTGCAATCATTTCAGCAGGGGAAGATAGATTCTTTTTGCTTTTTAAAAAATTTTGAGATATAAGTAACATAGAATAAAATACACAGATCTTAAGTGTCCAGTTTATGAGTTTTGACAACCCTATACGGTTATGTAACTACCACTGAAAACAAGACATGAGGCATTTCCTTCCATGAGTGTTCCCTCCTGCCCCTTTCCTGTCAAATCCCTCGCTAACCACCGTCTGATGTCTGTCATCATAGAGGATTTTTGCCTGTAGGATTTCATGTAGATGAAATCATAGGATAAAGACTTTTTTTGCAACTGGCTTCTTTTCACTTGACGTGTTTTTGAGAGTCATCAATATTGTTGCTTGAATCGGTTGCTTGTTCTTTTTTTATTGCTAAGTAGTATGGCATTATAAGACAATTTGTTTACCCATTCTCCTGTTAACGGACTTTTGGATTGTTTCCAGTTTGAGGCTTTAGAAATAAGGCTGCTCACTGTTCACAATAGGAAATATTTGGAACCCACCCAAATGCCCATCAATGATAGACTGGATAAAGAAAATGTGACACATATATACCATGGAATACTATGCAGCCATAAAAAATGAGTTCATGTCCTTTGCAGGGACATGGATGAAGCTAGGAACCATCATTCTCAGCAAACTAACACAGGAACAGGAAACCAAACACTGCATGTTCTCACTCATAAGTGGGAGTTGAACAATGAGATCACATGGACACAGGAAGGGGAACATCACGCACTGGGGCCTGTTGTGAGGGGGTGGGAAGCTAGGGGAGGGATAGCATTAGGATAAATACCTAATGTAGATGACGAGTTACAACTGCACATTCTGCACATGTATCTCAGAACTTAAAGTATAATAATAATAAATAATAATAAAATAAAATAAAATTAGGTTGCCAAAACATCTTAATGTGTGTTTTTTGGGAACCTATGTTTTTATTTCTTGTTGGTTAATACCAAAGGGTGATATTTCTGGGTCATACAAGTTAAATGTATGTTTAACTTTTCAGAGGCTGGGTGCAGTGATTCATGCCTATAATCTCAGCAATTTAGGAGGCTGAGGGAGGAGCACTGCTTGAGGCCAGGAGTTCAAGACCAGCTTGGGGGATATGGCAAGACTGCATCTCTACAAAAAATTTAAAAAATCATCTGGGTATATAGTGGCATGTGCCAGTAGTTGTAGCCGCTCAGGAGGCTGAGGCAGGGGGACAGCTTGAGCCCAGGAGTTTGAGGCTGCGGTGAGCTATGCTCACACCACTGCACTCCAGCCTAGGCAACAGAGTGAGACAAAAACTTTATAAGAAACTGTTGAACAGTTCTCTAATATAGTTAGACCATTTTCACATTCCCTCTATGATTAAGAATACCAAGTGCTATACATGCTCCCTAACATTAGGTGTTGGCAGTCTTTTTTATGTTACCTATTCTCGTGAATGTGAAATGGCATCAGATTATGACTATAATTTACATTTCCCTGATACTTAATGATATGAAGCACCTTTTTCAAGGTTACTGGCTATTCATATATTTTATTTTGTATGGTGCCTTTTCAAGTCTTTAATTGGATTGTTTGTCTTTTTATGGTAGATTTGTAGAAATCCTTTATGTATTTCAGATTCAAGTACTTTGCCAGATATATATGCTATGAATATTCTCCAAGTTGGAACCTGTCTATTCAGTTTCTTAAAGGTAGTATATTTTGGTAAGCAGAAATATTTCATTTTTCATTTTGATAATATCCAATTTATTATTTTTTTTTATGAATTGTGCTTTTTGTGTCATGTGCACAAAAGTTTTGCCTACTCTGAGGTCACAATGACACCTTCCCATGTCTTCTTCTAAAAGATTTACAGTTCTGAGTTTATATTTGGGTTTATGACTCAATTCAAATTAAATTGTTAAAATTTCATTTTTTCCCAGAAAGACTGTTTCTTAATACTATATTTGCCCATGGTTTGGGAAAGAGTAGAATCCAGTGTATCTGAAATATAATTTAAACACCTTAGTTTACATGTAAGTTGTACATGCCCATGCCATGCTGATTTTATTTTCTGCTGCATTCAATATTCTAGGAGGACTAGCCCTCCCAATACTGAGAAGTATTATAAGGATAGATCATTTAAACTGCACATCCTACAGCAGCTAGAGACTTTGCGTTATATAAATATTTCACTTTGATTTTTTTAAAGCAGGAGCTCAGATATAAAAAGACTCTTAGGTTCTAATTTTAGCGAAAGTCTTATAATTTGACTCATAAGTACAACTATTTAGAATGAAATGTTTATAAGTGTAAAACATCCATGACTTGTTCCTGTATTTGAAATGGAAGAGAGAGGCAACAGGAGGCCCAGCTCAGGCAGCAGAAGGCCTGAAAGAACAGCTGCCTGTTAGAAAGGGCACTAAGGGAACTCATGGGCAGTTTCTTTCTTGCTTTTTTTCCTTCTATTTCTTTTTAAACCCTGCCTGCCAAATAAAAATGACCTTGAGGCCGGGCTCGGTGGCTTGTGCCTATAATCTCAGCACTTAGGAAGGCTGAGGTGAGTGAATCACTTGAGGTCAGGAGTTCAAGATCAGCCTGGCCAACATGGTAAAACCCCATCTCAACGAAAAATACAAAAATTAGCCAGGCATGGTGGTGGGTGCTTCTAATCCCAACTACTTGGGAGACTGAGGCAGAAGAATCACTTGAACCCAGGAGGCGGAGGTTGCAGTGAGCCGAAATTATGCCACTGCACTTCAGCCTATGCAACAGAGCAAGACCTTGTCTCAAACAAGCAAACAAACAAAAAACTTTGATTTATGCAGAAAGAGAGCACAGCTCCTCCTCTGGACTTAGAAGGAGCCCAGAAGGACTGAAAATAGCCTCATAATATAATGATGATCATAAAAGATTTGAGAATCAGTTAAGTGTGTGATATAGTTTGAATATTTGTCCCCACCCAAATCTCATGTTGAAATGATGTCCAATGTTGGAGATACAGCCTGATGGCAAGTGTTTGGATCATGGAGATGGATCTTTCATGAATAGCCTGGGCCATCACCTTGGTGATGAGTGAGCTCTTGCTCTGAATTCAAACAAAATCTGGTCATTTGGAAATGTGTGGCACCCCCACCCCCATGCTCCCACTCTCTCTCTCTTGTTCTTGCTTTCACCATGTGAAGTGCCCACTCCTGCTTTGCCTTCTGACACAAGTCAAAGCTCCCTAAGGCCTCCCCAGAAGCTGAGCAGATGCTGCTGCCTTGCTTCCTGTACAGCCTTCAGAACTGTGAGTCAATCAAACCTCTTTTCTTCATAAATTACCCAGCCTCAGATATTTCTTTATAGCAATGCAAGAATGGCCTAACACAGTGTGCTTTCTGTAACATTTTAATTCAAATTCTATTCTATATTCAATTTAACACAAGAAATAGAATATTGGCCAATGAATCAGACCACTCTACTTTACTTACAGAGTTTCTGGTAAGCTGTCAACTGCTCTCTACTTAGCTTTCCCAAACACTAAATAAATGGGGATATCTTTGATCCCAAACTCTCTAGGAAGAGTCCAAAGATTACTGGATTTCTTGCTATGAATGAAGTACTTTGACTTCCACAGTAATAAGGTCTACAACAACATTCTATTTTTTATCGTACAGGTAGAAAACCAGTATGTATGCACGTGTAAGAGTTAAGTGGGAAAATGGAACAACTTCTTTACAAATATTATAAAATACATTTTATAAAAAAAAACATACTCTATTCCCTTATATTTATGCATCTATCAATATTTATGAAGAAATTTTTCAAGGCATGTTCTGAAACCTGATGCCAAAAATTATTTGATATGTAAACATAAAGTACGTGGAGACCACATACATAAAATCATAAAAGTCTCAGCTAAAGGCACAAATATCTAATTAGATATTTATTAATAATAACTAACTTTTATTGAGCACTTTATAAATGCCATGTACTGTTCTGAGTACTCTGCATGTCTTACTTTAACTCATTTATTCAACATGATAAAGCTGTGAAATTACTATCACTATTCTCAGTTTACAGAAAACTGAGAAACAGAAAGGGTAACGTGCCCCAGATTACATTCAAACTCAGTTCAGTCCATAGCAGACTCTAGAAACCATTGCCTTTGTGCTGTGGACTGAACTGTGCCTCCCAAAAATGTCTGTGTTGAAGCCCTTACTCCCACTATGACTGTATTTGGAGATAAGGCCTGTAGGAGGTAATTAAAGTTAAATGAGGTCATAAGGCTGGGCTCCTAATCCTACAGGTCTGGTGGCTTTACAAGAAGAGGAAGAGAGAGGAATAGATCCCCCCACCCCAGCACCAAATACACATGTACTAAGGAAGGGCATGTGTGCATACAGCAGGGAGACGCCCTCTGCAAGCCAGGAAGAGCCCTCACTAGAACCTGACCTTGCTGTCTTGGACTTCCATCCTCCAGAACCCTGAAAAAAATAGTTTTCTGCTGTTTAAGCCACCCAGTCTATGGTATCTTGTTATGGCAGCCTGAGCAGACTAATCCACTCTAGAAATTACCCATCCCAAAGACTTCCAAATAGGGGGAGAATCAGAAAGAACAGAAGATCTAATTTTTACTTCACCTATAATTTCTTATCATACTAGTAAACTTGCCCCCTTTTACCCTTTCAGAGGGTACCAAAAGCAACTGAGAAACTGAAACCTTATTGAATTTTATCATTATAAATATTTATAGATATTTTTAAATATACACATCAATACATGCAGGTCAAGACATGTTTACTACATTGATCTTTGCAAAAGAAACATAAAAGCTTCTGATCAATATAAATGTAAAAGTTTCTGGTCAGATTTTTAGCATAACTAGATTTTCAGGCAATGAGTCTGGAACTAATATGGAATACGAATGAAGACCTTAAATGATTGCTGTTACAGTGTTCCTCATTTGTTAAAAATAATCACAAAGCATTACTAGCAACGCCAAATCTCTAGCATTCTGATCAAGTGAAAGGAATTATCAGTGTCTAAAAGGTCTTTGTCAACTCTAACATCTATAAACATTTAAGTGGTATTGAGCAGATTCCATAATCTGATCTGCTTTTAACTGTGGAAATCAATGCAGTTATTAAGAAGCTATTTGAATAATTCATGTTGTAAGTGAAGGCCTTCAGAGTAGCCATAATGTGCTTGCATCTTAATGGTATTCTACATAAAGCTGTGTCTTGCTACAACGCACATTTAGTAAGCAAGACCAATCCCCATCCATCAGTTCAGAGGCACTGATGAGAGAAATTCTGACAGTTTCGGAGGAACAACTAAGCTATCTGGTTTTTATAAATAAGGAAGGTAAGAGAAAGTTTCTTCTCCCAATATCTCAGAGAAAGATAGTATCTGCCTTTTCATTCACCCCACTGCCTTTTTGTTGGGTCTGACATTTTGTTGGTGGTATCATTCAGTGATATCATTGCAAGGCCCATCTAACTATGTTAATTGGATTAAATGCATATCCATCAGCTAAAAAAAAATGTACTAAGTGTCAAGTGGTTAATTCCAGGTAAAGAAATTT